GAATTCTGGGAGGTACTCTGAACAGTAGTGATGTACACATGTAATGAGTATATACACAAGCATTGTAAAAAGAGCCGCTTGTACATGAAAGCGACGGGTAGACTCCGGCAGGATGTGCACATACTGTATTGTCTGATACCGGGGTGATGTTGAGAAAAGATAGAGAAGTGAGTATAGTATTGATATTTCAGCTGAGATATATGATGCAGCAGCTGGTCATCCATATCAATCCAAATGCCTATTCACATGCGGGAAGAATATTTTGTTTCTCCAGGTTCTTGATGTAGCTCCCCACTTTGGCGATGATTAACTGAGAATAGTTGGCATCCTTTGGCATTCGTTTAAGATAAGCGCCTGTAACAGCCCGAGCATCCGGGCTGCCGAGCTCCACGCTGCTTCGACCTTCATGGATGTTTTGTCATAGGTAGTGACTGTGAGTCAAAAAACTAGAAGGTGTTATAGTTTCTTGTTCGTTTCAAGGTGGTGGATTGAGCAAAGAGAGGAAGAGACTTGAAAGACAGCTGTTCAATGACAATGAAAGGGGATATTTTCCACCCTTGAAAGGGGTATGTGCTGAACAATCGGTCCCTCACAGAAAGGGAGTAGGTGGCATACGCACTCATTGCTGGGGGGCTCTCCCGATTGGTATTGTGTACAGTATCTTTTTCGCCCAACACCGCTGTCTCTCGGGGCTTTCCACGCGTGTTCTCAAATCAACGGAGCTGAGGTGGTTGAACTACTTCCTGGCAGTTCAGTTGGCAGTGCAAGTCATGGAGACGGCCGGCCTGGGCCTGGGCGAGTGGGTGCTCGGCAGTGCTTGGGCGAGTGCTTCAGCCCTGGAACACTTTGCTGGAGGTTTATTGTTCTGATTTCCTTAGCAGGAAAAGGTCGGATATGAATTTTCATTTTTGTGCGGACACACCCGGTATACTCGCGCGGAGAATGACCTTCCCACATTTACTGGATCTTTTTGCAACCATGTTACGAGAAGCTCGAAGAACGATGGTGCTTCGTGCACGAACAACATGATGTTGCTTCGTCGAGCATTGCTTCGGCTGAGATGATGTTGCTTTCAGCTTGGGCGGGCGGTTTGGTAGGGCGAGCGGTGAAGTGATAGCCAAGACAGCCAACATGATGTTGCTCGCTGAGAATGATGCTTTGGTTAGATGTCGGATGGCGGGTTGCAAAGTGATGATGCTCGTTGTGTTTGCCACCAACATGATGATTGCCTTGGTGAGTTTGTTCGATCGACTGTGCCAGCAACCTGTTTGACATGAGCAGGAAAAACCCTGTGATTTTCTTCATGAGTGTGGGCTCGCGCAACATGTGTGATCAACCAAACCCTACTAGACACGTGCGCGGCCTGAGTAGTTAGTCTTCGCAACTGTGGGCACTATCTTGGGCAGCTGGCTGGGTTGCCTCCATCGCAAAGGAAGGTAATTTATAATAATTGATGCTTGTGGGCGGGCAGGATGATATTGTAGAGAAATACAGTTCTGCTATGCGTGTACCAGCACCACGGAAAGAGATAATCTTTAGACACCCCTGTCTATATGTACGTTCCAATCACCACCCGAAATGGGTGCTGTTAGCATTTGTTAGCTTTGTTCATGGAACACAGGCAGGATCTGCTACTCCCTAGGGCTCCAACCATATCATCAGAAGGTGGTTAGGCCCCACAAACCCACCCCTAAAACCTTCTCAGGAGGTAGTCGGAGCCCTAGGGACTGTTCAGTGCCATGGACTGTCCCATGCGCTTCCAATTCTTTCCTGTGGAGCTTCCTTCACTGGGAGGCCAAAGCAAGCCACCCTCGAGCAGAAGGAGCGGAAGGAGTTCCGCCCATGAGGAGAAGCGCTCTACTCCGTGGGACGACGATGTTTGGGATGGCAAGATCCGGCATGCAAACAGCTTGCAGCAAGCTAGCCTAAAGATGTCTTAAGTTGTGAAGTCAAGTTTTGGACATTTGAGGAACATAATTTGAGGAGTCAAGTGTTGGCAAGTGTTGGCACTCCAGATTTTTCAGATGTCCAAGATCCCCGTTTTTTGGAGTTGGGCATCAAAAGTACGGTCGTCTAGAACATTATTCTTCAAATAGAATCTACAATAGGTCCCAGGAAATGGCGTCCTCCCAGCTATCAACGTCAGCAGGAAACTGCGTCACCTCCTCCAGGCGCCCCTCTGGCAGGCGCCCGACTTGCTCGCGCTCGGTGGCCGGGGGGTCCTTTGGGGTGTTGAGTGGCATGATGACTCTGCAGATCATGACTGCTTAGTGAGATATATCCCGGACAATCCATGTATATGGAATATATGTATGAATATACATTGACCCCACCCCAATGTAGGTAAATACCCAAACACCCCACCCCATGGATGATTGTGAGTGAGATGATACCAAACACCCCCAGGTAACCCCTTGACATCGAAGGTGCCCTTCTGTCGGGGTGGCTTGACTCTTGGGATTCCATGGTGGACGAGGACATGGTGGCAGCTTGGGAATGGGCCCAAATCGGCCAAACCTGTGCCCAGCGGTGCTAGCTTGGTGACTTGCCGACCTGAAGCGAGTGGGACCCGTGTGTAGGGCGACTCCACCTTCACCCGAACACACGCCAAGGCCCAGGCAGCCGACGCCTTCTCCGCCGCGGGGCCTCCGCGGGATTCTTCGGAGCTGCTGGGGCCGCAGGCGGAAGCGACGCCAGGTGCGGCGGACGTGGCGGAGGGGCCCGGAGAAGAGATATGTGTATTGTCCCAGAGACGATCGATGGGACTGAGAGTCATAATTCATCATATTACAATTCATAGGCATTCTCTGAAATCATCCTGGCAGTGGTTTTCCCACCTGTTTGTGGAGGAGAATGGTCATCCTCTGGCCATCCACAAAACCATGATTTCAGGGGCCCTGCCACCCACCTTGAGGATCTTCTTTCAGGGGTTGTGAAATCAGGAAAAACAATCATTCCCATGTCCCCTGGAGCGTAAACTCTTCATCGGGGCCGTTCAGCTGGTCCGACGACGGCGGAAGCTCCGGGGGGCTGGAGCATGTTCCGAAGTCGGCTGTTCGGTTGATGATGTTCCTTAAACATCCTGAAACCGTAAATCTATCATCATGTTTCTATTAATTCATGTAATTTCGTTACATTAATTCTATTATATTCATGAACCTATAATTGCAGGAAATGAGTCATCCCCAAGAGCATATTGAACATATACCAGCACCACGGAAGGGGTGGGTATTGAATTTAACATGCATAGCCAGGGTGTCCATGGTCCCAAACTCCGTAGTAGCGTCCTTGCTCCTAGTAGTGGTATAAGGTCCCTTCTTTTTGCAGACCTCTTCCCAATTGACCAATCGTGGACACCTCCTCCGCTTCGTTTCCCGTTTTACCGGGAGGCTGGCACTTGTGTCCCCTGGAGCTGGGAGCTTCCCGGTTGAGCTCGAGCTCTGGACCTGGGCGCTTCTTTGAGGCGGCATGGCTGAGGAGAGCCTATATCAATATAGACTCCCAGACATCATAATAAACCACCCGAATTTGGATGCGCTCACTTGCGGTTCAGATGCGATTCTACGTTACCCCTTGCTGTGTTGTACAGCGGGTGTAAGTAGAGTGGGTGAGAAAACGCACGTTACCTGTACAACTACGAAAACACGGAACGAAATCTACAGGACGAAAGAGCAAGATTGGGCCGTATGCCCACAAGCGACAAGGACGAGGTTTCTGCATTCTCACCTGAAGCTAATTGGTTGGGTAAAATCTAAATTAAGCATCTAATTAAAGGGTGGTCGGTCAGAGTCGAATGAGTCGAATGGTTTGTTCCTGAAAAGCGCATTGTGCACATTTTGAAGGAATTTTTCTTGCTTTTCAGGAGCAACTTCTTTCCAATTGGGCCAAGTTCGGATGGGTAATCCCTCAGGGAGCTTGGGCATCGGGACTTCCGTATGATACGGTGGGTCATGTGGCATGTGCATCAGCATATCTTCAATGAACTTATAGGTGGCTTCCACATTAGGCAGGGAGGGTCTTCTTGAGATACCACCTCTTTGTGGATTGTAGACCTCTTCCTGTGGGGTTTTGATGGGTTTTGGTTTATCACGAGTCTACATTATAGGTTTATGGCAACAGGGGGTTTGCAGGATTCCATCCGATTCCAATCATTTTCCGATGCCAGACCCGACAAGTGGGACTGGAATAGTTACATTCACCCCATGAAAATGATCCTGATGTAGGTATACATATATATATATACTTATATATATATAAAACTCTTCAATACATGGAGACACATGGAGAATGGCGATCCTGACAGCCGTGGTGAACTCTGACATGGGAGCATCCATGAGCATCCGCTTTTCCTGGACTTGCCAGGTGTCCCGAGTCCGGGGCGGGCGCCTGAGGCTTCAGGCGAGGCTTCGGACCTCTGGGGCCCTGGGCCGTCGAGCAGCGGGGTGAGAGGTGGTGGCCTCCCGGGTCCGATCGAAGTGTTTGGCGTGAAGATGCTTTCACACAGGTGGTGTACATCGGGGTGCAGGTTTTGGACCAAGGAGATGATGGACAGGACCTGATGGACCTGCTGAAAGAGACTTGGAGGGTTGAGACCGCAGATGGCGAAAACGGGAGGGTCCAAGTGAATCCAAGGGATGTACGAATGGATTCAATGGTTTGTTGGACTGGGGCCACTGTGGGTCGCTGGGTTTTTTCGATTATCGATAGGATTGTGATAGGGTTGTTGTTTCGGTTGCATGCATGCAGCGGCCTACAAACTCCTCCCTTCGAGAAATCGTGAGGTCTTTGAGAAGCCACCCGGGCCGTTTGAATGCCGTTTGGGTGTTTTCGTCGAAAGGCCTGTCAGTCTGGCGTGGTGTATGAGATCCCAACAAGGCGCCCCGGGCGACTGGGAGAAGGACCAGGCCACATCACGCCAGCTTCCTTTGGGAGCAAGACGGCGTTTGAGACTCTATACGTTTAAACAAGTTGAGCTAGAGGCAAGGAGGTTTGTGAAATCACAGATCTGGTCCAAAGAGAACGACGTCGCAGAAAGCAATCACAGAGCATTTACAAGGCAGAACCATCAGAATCATATCAACCACATATATACACACTTAAGAGCTGGATGGGCGTGTGAAGTAGTCCAACTACTTGTTTTCCACCTCACTTGGACACCGGGCGCGACGTCACACCTCCGTCCATGTGGTTCTTCCGCCTCCGGAGCTTGCAGGCTGCAGCGGCACATGCGCCGCGGTGACGGCCCTCCTTCACGCGACCTCGGTCGCCTGTTGGTGTTGCCACTCTCAGACCTGCGTGGGATCCCAGATGATCGGTCCACGAAATCTTGCTGGATGGGCGAGTGATGGTTTCCGTCAATCCCCTGGGGAGATTGGCAAATATGCTTAGGATTTACTGTATGGTCCAACTCCAGAAGCAAATCCAATGTTTGGGTGCGAGATGGTGCGAGCTGTTTGTGCATGAGCCATTTGGGTGAGCTTATTTGGTAGGCCCACCTCACAGGGAAAAGCCCATGTTACTAGGGGACACTGGAGGAGCAATACTGTTTGGGGGGTCCTCATTTTTGAGAGACAGACCTTCATCATTTGATCATCATTGTAATTATAGTTATGGTTAGTATACTGTGATTTTGAGCTGACTCCGAATTGGTTGCCATGCCCTGCACTGAAGCGCATGGCCCACAGTAAGTGACCCTACTGGGACATACTGGGACAATTGTTTGTTTGGGGACTCGGTAGTTCTGCAGCGGCAGATCCTTTGTGTTTGCCAAACCGAACCCGGATCAATGAAGCTTATAGGGTGTCATAGGGTTTTGTTTATTGGTAGTCTACATGCAGGTGAGATTTCTTGGCAGTTTGCTTGCGCAGCTTTGCCATGACGGTTTTGCAGCTTTTCATGTCATGTGTAATCTGAAGGTGCTTGAGCTGCTTGGTGTTGGAATCACCATTGACCATCGCAAACTCACCCCACAAATCTGACTTAGAACATTTGGCAGGCCAGTGACGGTTTTGAATGCCTTGAGTCTGGCTTGATTTCAATCCTCAGCTCTTGCTCAAGCATCACCCACACAAGAAAGCAGGAGAGACAAACACCCTGAAGGGAAACCCATGGAGCTTGGAGAACACAGGGTTGTTTCTTTTGAACAAGAGCAGGCACCTTGGCACTTGTGGAAGAAAGCGGGTGCTTGATGTTATTTTGGTTTCAGTGATATTCTGAATCTTTTGTCATCTCTTGTCTATTTTGCCTAGTTGCAAGCAATATGTGACTGGCACGTGAAGAAGCACATTCGTACACGATCGCACTTGTTTGCACCTTGCAGATCAGCCAATTCAAGTCGGAAGCTGTGCACCTTCCTAGCTTGTTCCAGCCAGTCAAGCACAGCCCTTCAAACAGAAAACCATCTTTGCAGCAAACCCCCCAAAGCACAAGTGGCTCTTCGCGTAGACCGATGGTGGATGAGACAGCGTCTCGGTGGGTGCTTTGTACGTCTCGGTGCGCAGTGACGACCAGGGGAGTTCTGTTGAGTGATATGAAAAACAGGCTGCCTCCCACAGAATGATTATGTATTCCAGTAGGAGAGGATAACGGGCTACACAGAACGAAGTCGTGCTGAGGTCTACTGAGGTCTTTTTATGTCCAAATCGCGTACAATATACGGATCCTTCTCAACAAGAAGCGACCCCCAAGCACCACACGAGCGTGGAGTTGCTCGAGTGTGTTTGTCTTCTTTTCTTTCGCCCGGGCAGGGGAGTCACGGGAACAGAGACGTTGGCAGTGTGGGCCAGAAGGGTGTATCCCAGTAAACCATTAACAGTTGGTAAAACATAATCAGTTTTTCAGAAAGGCCGTCACCGTCTTTACTAAAACCATCATCCACTGTTAGTGGTAGTGAGATTTATACTACTGTCTAATGACTTAGGCCAACGTGATGCAAGTGACATACGAATCTGGCTACCCCCAGGGCTAAGTCATGTGCCCTGACATATCGAGCAAAAAACATGTCTGGGTTGGGAAACCTGGTGTCATAGGACCTGTGGACACCTCCTCGACAAAAAAAAGAACAACAGCTAAATAATGCTAGATACCACTGCCTGGCACCCCGGTGACACAGTGGTGACATAGGGTGCGACTATGTGTTTTTGCGGGCGCTGCTTCCTTGAATACCTCATACATATTTCTATGAATATCATGGTTGTGGCCTGATGACATAGGCCTTAAGAGGAAATGCCAATGTTGGATCAATCCTGATGACATAGGCTTTTGGAATTGGCGTGTATGTCCGACAAGTCCTAAGTTACTAGTCAGTAGTATACTCAAGTCATGCATGACTCAAATTCGAGTTCTTTGCCATGGTGGCCAACTTGCTTGAGGTGACTGCATCCCCAACAATTGAACTTTGAAGTGCATGGTGAAGGGTTTGTGGGTTTGCGGCACCTTGAAGCTGCAGGCTGTACCCCTATTGCCCCAAAGTTTGAGAATCCGTTTTGTCATTCAGCGTACCAGGACCACCAAGGGGGTGGTTAATACATATTAATACACATCCCTTAAGTTATTTTGGGGTGTCCTGGTAGACGACATGGATGTTCTTTTCGCGGCCGGGTGCTCCAGGGGAGATGCACAGTGTGCGCGTGCCGTCCGCGGAGGCCTGGGGTAGGGAGTACGGCTGGGCCTTTGGAAACACATGCTTGTATACCAGGGCCCACAGGAGTTGGGTGATAGGACAGACCAGACCTAATATAGGTGGTACTCCAACAGAATGCGCGCGAATGCTCACGTAGGGGAAATGAAATAGTTTAATAGAGAGTTTTTAGGGACTGTGGAACAGAGGTATACTGTACTACTGAACGAATTCTGGGGGCATATGGGCTTGAACAATATGGGGAGGTTTTTGACAAGAAAGATTCTTATTACTGGGGTTCGAGCAAGGTGCACATGGGCGGCATCACCAAGGTTACACATACCTGCCAGGACCATTTGTGGCAGTCATTTTTTGGAAGACGAGTACATCCTTTGTGCAAGCGGAGGCTGACATTCCCTGAAACAATCATGGAAGCGGAAGACCATGAAAAACCATTTGATTGTAGAGAGGGAAATAGTCATCCAAGGGGCCATCCCATCCACTTCCATGATTGTTCCAGGTAGTGTAGCGGCCCCCTTACCGTGGCGAAGCTCAGCCCTGCATCCCCGAGCCACCCCAGGTGCGCGCACAGGCGCTGGCGCGCCGCGCCGCCGCAGAGGCAGAGCAGCTGGCTGGGCAGTACCAAGAGGCAGTGAGCCGGGGTGCCCGGGGTGTGCGAAGCCCGCGCCACAGGGGGCGAAGTTCCGGTTGACTGAACGATACTCATCAAATCTCATCAAGCACATTGCTTCTAAAGGGCTGTAGAATGCTACAAGACCATCCAGCAGTTGTGGAGGTAGACGCCAGATTGAGGGATGTAGCGGTGGTCTGCGAATGATGTCCTGTCTCTACGGTTGTGCAAACTAGATCCATGACCCGGTCATAGAATCCTTAGAAACTCTTTTTCTCAGGTGCACTGGGGGTTCAATCCCGAACTAGTTGCATGCGATGTCAGCAAGAAACAATGATATGATATAAGGTATATATTGTATATTTACACCATGTAACCGCTTGTAAGAAATAATTTGGTGCAGAGAGTCCGGGAAGAGACGTTTCCAAGTGTCAATTGATTCGATTGTTGTTGTTGGACCTATAGGCAATTTTTTTATTCAAGGGGTGTGCAGTTCAAATAGTTTCAAAATACAACATGAAGGAAGGAACACTTGCGGAGTCTTTTCAGCAAGCTCATGGTAGAGTTGGTTCTTCGACCTACCACAAAACCAGCACTTCAACCCGAGAAACACCAACTTGGTTAAGGAAAATTGTCCAATGTAAGGAGCCTGGCGGTCTATTGTCCACGTCCATGTGTCGTTGTCGATGCTTGAGGCCTATACGACGATGCATGCAAACTACTACTCTCGCTGGAGGACCCCTTGTGAAATTGGTGTTTTGTGCGGAGGAGACATATCCCAATAATATGTAACACAAGAGCCATAGGCAAACTTGATGACCACACAGTAGCCATGTCTCGAGGTGGTATGTATGTCTACGGGATGTTTTAAAACCATATGGTGTGGGTTGCCTGGCGGATTTGGTGAGGTGTGTGTCATCCCAAAGACCCAAGTACATGCCAGATGCTCTCCCTAAGATTGCTACACCTCTGGACGTGTGTGCCCTTTTCTGTCGTTTGGACACCAAAAGCATGGGAAGGTTCCAAAGGATAGGAGTGGAAACGATTTCAGAATCTGGTCTGAGTGGGATTTCCCTCATGTTGAGCCGAGTTTGATATTCCAAATTCAACTGACCCGACTTGTGGTGTACCGAGTCGAATTGAGTTCCAAGAGCCTGGCGAGTCTGCCGCTCTGGCTCCATCTGGGTGAGTGGCAACCCGAAGGAGTGCGGTATCCACTTGTATGGAAAGTACCAGCCTGGTCTGCGGTGTGGCCGGGTCGCGACCGGTGGGTTTTGGACGCTCAAAAGAAAACAGATACCAGAGTTGGTTCATAATGTTTCTTGATGAGAACCAGAGTTGGTCCGGGTTGGGGTTGTTGGGTGATAATGTACTGGTAGGCTTGGTCGGCGTGTTACCAGCCAGTTGACTCATACCAGAGTTGGTTGATGTGAACCAGCAGCATGGACATTCTTGGAACTCGTTTAGTTGGTTCACCACCTCTCATGGCCTTCTTCACAAAGAAGAAGGCGCCGAACTCGGTGGATACCACGAGCAGCTGCAGGAAGCCACGAGGGAAGCTGCTGTGAAGGCACGGGGAGGAGCTGAGGATGGAACGCAGCCCGTGATGCCAAGGAACACAGGAGGATCTCGTAGGTTTGGTGGATTTCAGCTGCTATACAGGGCCCACCCATGTTCGAGACATCCTGGTTTTGCGTTTTCTTTTTTGACTGACTGTTTCAATCAGGGTCGATCATGGGCCCACCCATGATCGAACAGATGAGTTCACAGACATCCTGGACAGTCACCGCTGAACAGGTTGGCTTGGAAGAGAATGAAGTCCTCGTCATGGTGTCAGTGGGTGTGACTCTTTTCGAGGGTCTTCATAGTTTTTGGGTATGGATCTTTTTCAAGACTAGAGAGTGTACAACAAGGAATTCATATATTATTGTATATAATTGTTATATATATATATATATAGATGACATATAGATGTGTTTTTTTGGGTGTGCAAGTGTTCATAGGAAGACCATACCAAAACCCACCGGAGACAGATCCCCGATCC